AAGGTCGAATTGTTAACAAAGTGTTTGGTCTGCCTGTTCCAATAGATGAAAACCACTATACATCAGATTATAAGGCTCAAAGCAAGGAGCCTGACTATCTCGGATTAGTAGATGTGTTCATTTGGGATGAAGCACTGATGGTACCATGTTTTGCTCTTGAAGCTGCAAACATTACATGGTATGATTTTACTGGTCAGCATACACTTTTGGAAAGATAATGATTCTTGGGGGTGATTTCCGACAAGTACCGCATGTACTTCATTGCAAAAGCAGAGTAGAGCTGATAGAAACTACTTTAAAATGCTCCGTTCTTTGGTCAGTCTTTCATCACCTACCCTGACGGTTTTTCTTGGATATCGGAAATGGTACTTTACCAATTGATATTGCAAGCAACGTATCACTTCTTGAACGATGTCTAAGTGATGAAAACGTCGTTGAAGAAATATATGGCAACAGTATCACCACAGGTGACATGGATGTAATTTTCTGGAAAGCAATTCTAGTACATTTGTAAGTTTTCGTTTTTAAAAGAAAGGGACTAATAATTAAATTATATTTTTATTACTTTTCATTTAATTCATATGATATTCACATCACAAGATGTGAAGTGTCAGAGTAACTACTATTAATTATACGCTTAAAATAATTACTCTACAAATAAGTGATTTTCATTTCAAACTCAAATCGGAATGGAAACTAAAATTAACGTCAAATGCTCAAAACTAAAACGGAAACTATTATTATATAAGCAAAACGAAATTAAAACTAAAATTGAAAATATGTAAACACCAAAACTAAAACTACTATTAACATGCAAAACGAAATGAAAACTAAAATATCACTATAAATGAAGTCAGTGGACATCAGAAACAAATGTAAGAGAAGTGGCTCCAGCATTCCTAAATTTGTTATAATTTTCAAAATAAAAATCATGATTTCCTGTAATATAGTCGGGAAATATTGATATATTAGAAAAATTTGCACAAAACCTATAAATTAACTTAGTGGTTAGGTTGTTTTCTTACCAGTTTGTTTTTAAATTTTACATAGCACAAATCCTATGAAAGTAAAACATATTTACTTCATGTTTGTTGACCTGTTGTTTGTAGAAAGTAAATAAAGAAGAAAAATGCAAGTTGGATGTTGCTCCAATTGAACAAGATATTATGTAAGATTTCACGACCCTGAGATGAAAGCAGACAAGGTACGTTTTACCAAGAAACTTATCATAGACACCAGATGATCATGTTCAAAGTATCAAGATAGACGTGGAGACGAAAAATATCAGATAAAAATAGCAAACAGAAAGATAAATAGGAAACAGAAAAAGGGAAGAGATAAATCATATAATTTGAAAGAAAGTATATGAAGGTTAAAGAATAATCTATTAATACAAAGTAAAATGAAACTAGAGGAATACAGTTGGTGAAGTGCTTCTACTATAAGCAAATAAAAACTTGCAGACGCCATACAGAATAAGGACTTCAAGGAGTTAATGCTACTCAGACTATGCTAGAAGGAATGAAAGAAAGGTACACTTGAAAGTTCTCAAGAGTTCCCTGTCATGATAATTTGATAAACAAATGAAAAGGAAAACGATAGAAAATGCAATTGAAGATCAGAACTACCAGTTAAAAAGTTCGTAATAATAAAATAATGAAACTGTCCAATATTGTTGTGCATACTTGATGGGCTAAAAATTCATTTGTTTCTTTTAAATTTCTTAATTATTTAAGTTAAAAAGAAATATTGTTAGTAGATTTTTGATAAAACTCAAGTTTGAATGCTTCTGTTATTTTTACCGACTAAAACATTAAGAAAGAGTAACTGGGTGAGCTTAAATAAATAGATAAAAAAGACGAGTCACTTTTTGAATAATGACCTATGTAGGTGTCGTCCATGTAGCGCTTTTCAAATCTTAGACCATATGAGGTGATCTCTACAAGATTCTCAGGCCATCAGCAGCCAATGTAACACAGCTGCAGCTTTGATCAAGACCAGACGCGAAGGACTGGACATGATACAAATGGACAACTTCCACGTCAAAGACAAGGAATTATATAAGACTAGTGGTAACTGAAAATCTCTCACTCTAAATAGCGATTTCTCATTGGACATTGAATACTAGCAGCTCCACCTACCTACTTTACTCTGTTCACTAACCTTCACCTAAATGAGATTATTAACCTTTGTGTTAATCTCGTTTTTAAAGCCGAGGAATGTGTTTTATACTAAGTACACAATCTTTCAGACTACTGATAGACTTTGTCACGAAAAATTGTTTTTCAATTCACTGTAGAATTTTTTTAACAGACTGATGGAGTCTGCATGTGGTCTAGCTTAACACCTGCAATGGCTAATGTTTCCTTGTGCTTTCGTGAGAATATTCGGCTGAGGGATTGTTCTACTGAGTTCAAACCACTATTTACAATCGCTATGTTGATGGCGTATTTGAAATGTATCAAAATTAAGACGAATTAATTAATTCTGTAAAACATTTGAATTCTAAACTTACCTGTGAACACCAACAGTGCTCTGCTCTGCCTTCCTTTTCTTGACACATATGTTTTCAACAAACAAAGACTTTATGATGTCGGTTGTTATCAAAAACTAACCTACACCGGATTATACACCTACTTTAACAGTATGTTCCACTTCATTTCAAAGAAAACCTTGTTAAACGTCTTACAACTCGTACACACGTATCATCAGTCCTCTGGAACTTTTTTTCCTTCAACCATAAAATTGTCTTGTTTTTAGTTTTATCGATTACTTTGAACATACTGAGGGTTGGTTAATGCATGCCGAACAATACTTTAACTGCCTTTGAACCTAGGATTAGTGTTCTTTTGAATGATCTCCCAATATTATTACAATTGGTTCAACATAAATGCTCTTACAAGTTAGGCAGTAAAATTCGCAAATAACACATGACTGTTGAGAAAACTGGATACGATCTTTAAACTTGAAAAAATTCTGAATTTTCAATAAAGGTCTAAACACACATTAAAGGTGAACTTTCAGATAGACTATTTTGATTATAGTGTTTAGTTTCCTATTCAAGATTCGTGAGTGTGAGTCTGTGTACCGTAGAGAGATCTTTACCTGTAGTTTTAGGGCGTCATAGTTCAGAGACCCGGAGAGATGTAGTTGTTGTACAGTTTTATTTATGATAGAATCAATGAAGTTGTATGAGAAGGAGTTAAGTTTTATAACAGATTTTGGTTTGAGTAACTGTAAAAGCTGTCACTTCTAATCCTGCAAGTGAAGCTTAGATTAAACAATCAGCAAACAGCTACTGAACTTTTACTTGCAATCTACCTAATTTAATTTCAAATGGCTGCAAAAATTATGGTTAGATTAAAGATATCTTAAATGATGGGTTCTGACTGTAGAAGGCAGCAAAGTGTGAGTAGTACACAGTAATTAATCTTATGAATACCGATTTAATTTGTACATTGATGTAGATATATTTATATGGATCTTTTACAACAAACTTTCAGTGAAGCAACTTATAAAGATAAACATAAAAATCAAATTATTTTATATTATTTAGAGGTTTAAGTAAGCATCCTTTTCAGATCAAGTAGATATTATACAATGCATTAATTATATAAATGAAAACGAATGAAATAGCAATAAGAGTTTTACATATAAAACACCAGAAAATGCAAAAGTGTGCCATGCAAATTAAATACAGAAGTGAAAACTATAATCATATGCTACTGTACATTAAGTGTTTTATTAACACTATCTGGCTATAGAATCACCCATCCACCTTTGAAAAACAAATGTAAAATAGAAATAAATTGAGACAAGTTAAATTCTGTGTGCAGTCCTACAGAAATATAGTAACACTGTCTGCCTATAGAAACACCATCCGCCTTTGTAAGTCATACATTATTACTGTTTGTTTCAGTCTCGTTAAGTCTGCGATTTAACTAACATATATTAACGATATTTGTTTAAACCATATTGAGGTTTTATATAAGTGAAAGAATAACCTATTTGAAAATGTAAAATATTAGATATGTTTGAATCCTTTATTCATTACAGAGTAAAGTTATAATCTATTAAAATCATCGTATATCGTTATTTCCAAACAGAAGAACGTCCTTTTCAGGGGAAATACATGCTATGCAATATATTAATCATGTGATGATGTTTCAGGATTCTGGGTACAGTAAACTGAGGGTACTCTACTAATATGGCAATGTCCATTTGTTTCTGGATAGTTGAGAAATTTGACGCCTATAACTTCTGGCACGTGACGAAGTATGACTCTACATCAGGTACAGAGAAATTCTCTGAACAAAGCGTTGATCTGTTTCGAAAAAAGATTATAACAAAAGCACGCCCTTTCATACAAAACAGGTGTTTATGTGTGTTTTGACGAACAAATGCTCAAAACAACTTCTACTGACCACAGTAACAATTCATACATGATTGTCTGATCATACACTACCTTCTCTGTTGCCAATCGGGCATTTACTCAATAACTACTTCATGAACATAGATAATAGCATAAGTATCGAACAGTATGCGAACATTTTGGGCGAGACTGTACAACTTTTGTACTTTTGTAAGTAACAGAAACCAAACTAGTGAGTCTACAATTTTCAGGATACTTCTTACACCTTTTTATCATATATATTATCACATTGCCAACTTTTCAATCAAAAAGGATTTCTCCGGTTTCAGGAGACTTCTGAAATATAACGTCTAAAGTCCCGCTCAATTTTCAATATTTCGGAGAACCTTATCAGAGTAAAAAGCTTTCTTCTCAAGAAATACTCCAAGTTTTTTGGAGCAGCTATTCTTTCAATATAAATAAAATTCAAAGAAAATCCTTTGTGCCTTTAAAGAAGTAAAACGTTTTAAGAAATAATTATAACAACCGTACTTTTCTTTCACTTTTTTTTTGTTCTTTTTTTTTTGTAATTTTACAGTCAAAAATGATCTGGCCGATAAAACTACATCGTAAAGATGGCGTTGAAGTATCCTATCAGTGCTATTCAGTAATACTTAACGTGACTTATATATCTGAATATGTAGTTTTTGTGGATGAATAAAATAAGCGTTAACAGTTTGTTTAAGTTATGATATTAATCAACAGCTGAATATCATTAATGTTTAAATTTCTAAGATGTAAGTTAATGAAACAAACAAAATAACAGAACGTTTTAAGCCGGTTTAACAAGCATTGAAGCAAGCTACTTTAAAGTTTACCTTCAAAGTTCAATTCATATAGTTCTTATACTAATAGTAAAGTATTAATATTACTAGTATTAGTAAATGTATTAGAAATACGATATAAATTTGATTGAAAGTGATGCATAATTTTCATTTGCATGGGACTTGACTGACGTTTTAAGTTGAACTGTCATATTCATAATTTTGTTTGGTGCTTTAAATTTTATGTATGAAGTTACATTATATTTTATACTTATAGATATTAATCATTATCATTATTACTTAGGCTTGGACCCAACAATTTTTGCCATTTACTGATTTATTATTTGCCAACAGAGATGAGATTATCATTGATAGCTGTAAGAGTAATGTGTCGTATTCTGAATTTTTAATAAAGGATGCCTTCACCTTTATCACAAAATATGCATTTTCAAAAATGTTTAACAAATGCATGGTTTAACAAAAAGCTTTGTAAATTCAACATACATTATCCAGTCAAACATAAAAGCAGCAAAATTGGAGATATCTACAGAACAGCTTTTAAATTAACTAAAGATCAATTTGTACATAATACTTTGGGCTTCAATCAGTATGTTTTAGTTAATCTTAAGAGGTTGCATCATCACTGCCCAAAGAAATATCCTCCATGGAAAATTCTGTTTTATGGAACTGACGAGTTTTCCTTGCAAAGTCTCAAAGTCCTAAATGAAAACAGGTATTGTATATACATGTTTTTAGAATTATAAAAATTACTCATTAATGTTCCTTACATTGTTTCTTAATCTATGTCTGTCTTTTGTTTTGTTTTTCTGATGTGGTATTTTAATACTTATGAAGCTATGTTACTAATATTTTTATAATCTAATCACAAAATAGTACTATAGCAAATTACTTCATATGGACATATTAAAGAGCCAGATTGCTGAGTGACTACATTAGTTACAGTCATGAATATGGTCTTTTCAGTTCAGTTTTTGTATAAAATGTTTATCATCAACAGTAATTTTGTAAGAATCTGAAAAGTAAAGCATTGTGAATGACAAAATGTGAATTGTGAAGTTTCTCAAGGGTTTGGTGTGGGATCTTTGTTTTCCTTTGTTCATCTTAACAGTTTGATGAGGTATTTGGTAAGTTTTGGTTCTGATTCTATGTTGTGTTCAAGTGAAATGGATGTAACTGATTGATTGTCATGAGAATTTATGCTAAATAAGGCCTAAGCTATTCGTATTGGAAAATTTGTATAACATTTTGCAAGAATATGTCAGATGTAGGTCATCACCTGGCTGAAGGACAATCTTGGTGACATAACTCATCACAAATTTTACTAGTGTCCATATTCTGGACTTGAACCAACTCTTTTCTGTCTCTAAGCCTGATTAATTCCATATAGTAGCCTTTATGCAAATATATTTCTTGTAATCAACTGAATGTTTTTGTCTTAAGGTTCAGTTATGTCATATGATGAAAAAACTTCTGTTCTTTGAATAGCATATTGTAGCTATACACTCTTACATATGAGAATCCTAGATGTGTTTTAAACACTTAGCCTAATGATAAATTAAATGTCATCAATTTTATTTTAAATTGACTTTATCTATAGATATGAAATTAAATTGTTTTCATCTCTTACTCTCATCTTTCCTAATGCTAACTATTTTCAAACTGTAACATGTTTGATGTGAATATACTAACTTAATCTTGAACAAGACTACACCAACTCTTGAATAATACCTACTGTTAAATAAAGTTACTTTTTCATGTCTATATATCTCTGATTGCTTATAATTTCCATGTTTCCCTGTGTGATTCTTTTACTATCATTTCTTGGTGTTAAAAAAGTGCACATACAACAGTATTAAATATTTCAATATTCATATTCATTAGACCCATAATTTTGTGGTTAAAGAGGTAATAACCTTAGATGAGCAGATGGACTCATTACTGTAGTAACTTATTCGTTCTTTTGTTTTAATACACAGAATAAAACTACTTGGCTCTCTCTGTGTGCTAAAGTTCATTTAAATGCCAGAAATTGCCAGTAATTTTCTTTGTGAATTACAGAATTATACAAGAATTGTTCACACTCAAAGTTTTAAAAAGGTTTTTTGTTATGTTTACTATTTATTTACTGACAGTCTTTTGTATGTACATATATATATATGTAACTGTTGTGTGTGTAGCCATGTGTATTTTAATTTATATACTTAGACTGAAGAAACATGTTACTGATCAAGCTGTTGAACAGTTGGAGGTTGTTTGTTCACAGGTGAGATTTAAGGTATAATTATATTATAGATTTTATATTCTAAGCTAGAGTGTTATGTGCTATAATTTTTATGACAATGATACAATTTGGTGAATCAGGTCAAAAATGCTTATTGGGCTTACAACTAAAAACCTTTTTTTTTTATATTAAATTTAAAGAACAAAAAACCAATGAAAACAGAAAAAAAATACACCTTTGTTGTTCACTCTACCTGCATAGTTTTTATAAAAATGTCATCTGATCTAATGATTCAAAACATTTAATAAGTTCAAAAACCTCAATTATGTTCTCAGTATGACCTTTTCCAGTGAAAATTACATGAAGAGGTTTCAACCTTTTATGATACAATAATCAATCTAATCTTGAAATATTGTGATAGCTGTTCCTTGAACCTTCTACAATAAATCATCATATTTTCTTAAGTAAGGTGACTAAACATAATTTTCCAGTCTTCTGTCTTCTGCCATCTAAATCGACTCTCAGTAGATTTAGCTAGCACATTTCCTGGCCCAATAGATACAATCTTCATAAGAAGTCTCTTATATGAGATCATATCAGAACTTTCTCTCATTGATCAAAACCCATTCATCTTCATTTTGTAAAGGCTTTATTCCCATTCCAACATTCTGTTTTGTTTTTACTGTGAGTGTGATCATATGACAGCAAATCACTTAAGGGTTAGTTTTTTATCTATTTAGCAGTTTTTCAAAAACATATTCAACTAACAGAGTAATTTTGTTGCTCAAAAATATATAAGATTTTTAAGCCTATATTCATTAAAAAGGCTATTTTTTTGCTGTTTTCTCTTTTGTTTTTAGTTTCTTAGCTTAAGTTTTGTAAAAATTGCTACATTGTGTTTGAATGTGAATAAAACCTTGTTACTATCATACAATAATGTCACTTAAGTTAATGACAATCAGCTATGTCAGGGTCTCTCATTCACAAGTGTTCAAGCCAGTATAGTCAAGTTATGGTAAATGTTAGCTTTCCTGTTTATAAATTGGATTTTTAGTGGTGTGGTGTATTTTTTCTTGGAGAAGTCACATGTACCTATTCCTTAATCCAATTTACATCAGTTGCCTTTAGGTACCCCATATTATGAGGTTCTAACAAATTAAATTTTTATAAGTATTACAGCATAACTGTCTTGTATCATTTTCCATGGTAGTTCAACTTGCTTCATTGCCTCTATTTATGAAAGGCAGAGGATTTGAATGATCAGTTTTTGTTGTCATCATTTTGCTTTTAATTTTAGTGTTTTCCTACTTTTCAGTTAAGGTTAATTTTTGTAACAGTTATTAGTGAGTTATTTATTTATGTAGAAAAACACTCCTGTTCATCAATATGCAACAAAAAACAACTTGGTAGTCCACTGGTGGCCATTTGCTGTCCCCCCTGGAGTTTTTGACGTTGGTGTGGTAGTATCATTTGGACATCTAATACCACAACAGGCAATTCAGTCATGTCATTAGTAAGTATTATCTATTAATTTTTAGGTGTGTGTGACTTTAAAATGTTCTATATAGAGGCATAGAATGTTTTAAAATCCAATGGACTAAATGCTAGAAAAATCTACTTGACCTTCTTAAGAGTCTACTTGCCCCCTTCTCGTGTCATAAAACACACAAAAAAATGTGAATTTTGCTTGGACTTAACAATAAACACAATCAGTACAATGCCATTGATAGCTCAAGTTTTTTGGGAATAGTGTATACCACATTTTGGATCTAAGTCCTTCCTGTGTACTTATTAATGTATTTTATGGTTTTGAGCATTTAGTTACTACATTTTACATTGTAGCACTTAGAATATGTATGAACTAATGAAAAAATCATGGTTTACATTAATGCTGCCTCTAATTGAAATGATGATCAATACATACATACAGTGAACCCTTGTTAGTCTGGACATCAGCAATCCGTATTATTCACAATTTGTATGATTCTCCACTTAGACAAAGCTTCACAATTTGGAATTTAATCAATATTTCTTATATTCACATTCTAAATTTGAAGGGCCATTTTTTATAGAATAACCTTCACTAACAATATTTCTAAAAATAACCTTCATTAGCAGTGGTCACTGATTTACAACAATTTTTCTGAGAATGACCTTCACAGTATGGATGTACATTTAAACTATAAAAGGTATTTAGAAGTCATCAGAGTGATTAATACCACAGTAATGCCAAGTCACAGTGCTCCAAAATGAAGACATTTAAAATGTGGTGTTTGTTTGTATGAGAAAGCAATACATCTACTATGTATTTTGTATTCTATAAGTAAGCTATTGGTTTAAACAAAATGTGCAGAAAATAACCTGTCTGGCACTTTGATTATGTAACTGGTATAATTTTTGACTATGTATGAAATAGTAAACTGTTAAATTGCATTTGTTTACCAATTGCGTACCCACCCTTACATTTATCAATCAATGATGCATGCTATTAAGAGAGTAAGTGCCCAGTGTATTATAAGTGATGTATTCAACTATACAGATGTCTAGATAACCCAGAACTACTACTTCATTACAAATGTGTTTGGATTAATGAGGTTTCACTGTGTAAAAGTTTAAAGCTTTTTGTAAGTTTTCTTTTATTATGTTATATATTTTTCCTTGATTTGTCTGTCAAACTTTACTGGGCTCCTGCTGTTACATTAATTTAAATATGTTTGTTACTATCTGCATAACTAAGAGTTTGTGAATTGAAGGAATCCGTATATAGATTTGTTTTAGGATTTAGAGATAAGTATTTTTAAATGTTCATGTGTAGGCACTAGATTTCTGCAGCTCAGAATTTTAAAGAACTCGTATAGCTTGTTAGAAATCTATCTGGAGTGATTTTCTAGTGATAGAATATATAATCAGCAATAAAACAAAAACTACATATCCAATAGACAAAGTATAATGGTAAAACTTCTTGTTCCTCAGACTAATTTTGTTGCCCCCATTGACCAGTATCTACAGTTACAGATAGAAATTTGAAGTTGCAGAAAGTTGCAGTAGAGAAAGTATCTTGACTTTTTATTCTGTATATTATATAATGAATCCTTATATACATTACTTTCTTTTGTGAATTCTTATTATGTTGTTCACACTTTAGGATTGAATTTTAAAAAAGTATGCCAATATTAACAGCATAGTAATTTTCAGTAACAGTTTATATTGCGTGACTGGTATTAAAAACATAAAAGCTTTGTATTCTGTATGGGAAGTAACTACCAGTGTATTAGCTGAAACAATGTTTCACAGCACTTTCTGTGATATTTACAGTTCTACCTTATACTGCCTAACATATTTCATTCATTATACAGTACCTAAAGTAAAGTTTGCTTTTGGTAAATTTTGTTTCATTATATGTTATTTAAATAACATTTTGTTTTGAAAAACTTAATTTTATTATACATTGTTTAAATAAAGTTAAAATTTAGCACTGAATATCCATTAGGTTTACTGGATATTTTCTGTGTTATTGAAGTTTCTGAAACTTGCTATTTTTAATTTTAAGGTGCACTCTCTTAGCTCATGGGTCCAGCCTGAAATATTAATTAACAGACCTAAATGACATGGCATTGTGGGTTGCTTATCATGTTGGTACTTTTTGGGAAACAATCATGACAGCTCATTTTGTGTAGACTAAGTACTTGCATGTTTTTTCTGTAATATGTTTTGATAATAATAATAATACATTGGTAGTAATAGCTTTGATAGTCTGGCAGGGGTCAGATTTTGGTTCGATTTTACATTACCAGAATGAATATTCTTTTTGCTCTGTGAGAACATCATTTACAACACACTGAGATGCTTATGGAAATAAATAAACCATAAACTTCATATTAAAAAAATTAGGTCTGGTTGGCTGCAGTGAGAAAGCTGAGGTTGTTCAGAAAAACTTAGATTGGTTAATTAGTTCAATAAACACACGGCAAGTGGCATTCAATTATGATGAATGTAAAGCTATGAATGTTGAATATAGATTAGACATGTAATTTAGATGGGAACCATTTTAGTTATGTGGGTGAGTAAAATGAACTTGGGGGGGGGGTTGGCTAATACAACTCGTAAGCCTTTGAGACAGTGTTAAATAGTAAGTGGTAAAGCTAACATATTTTTATGTTGTATGTATAGGAATACTGACTACAATTTTACTGAGACCATATTTCTTTGTTTTTTATATAAGTCACTAGTTGGGCCTCATTTGGAGTACTGTGTACAGTTTTTGGTCCTCTTATCTTAGGAAAGACATTGAGTTATTGGAGAAGACTCAGAAGAGGGTCACTAAGATGATTCAAGGGATGGATGGATTGTCATATGAAGACAGGTTAAGATCTCTTAACTTGATCTCTCTCTTGAAAGGAGAAGGGCCAGGAGTGATCTAATTGAAGTATTCCAATTTATTATGAGGATTGGCAAAACTGAAGCAGCATAATTGTTTTTCATTTTAAATTCTGAGAGCAGTAGAACAATAGGTCATAAATTTAAGATTTGGAAAGGGGAGATGTATCTCCAGTTAAGACGAAATGACATATGACAATCCTCCAACAATAGGAGTGCAACTCAGCCTCCTGGTATAGCTGGTTCCATCTATATTGATTGTTCAGTCATCATTTCTCGATTTGGCTCTTGTATGTTAAGACGTCTTTTTTCACTCACATGAGATTCCTGAACATCAATGTTTGGTTGAAGTATCTACAAAACCAAACAATTCTGCCTCTGTAGACTTTGTGGCTATTATTTTCCACAACCTGACTTACACAGAGACTGTTATTTTCATGCTGTTTAATGTTGAATATCTGGGCATTGTTCACTCTAGGCAGACTACCACAATGACTTTGGGTTCTTCTTTGTCTGTCAGGGGATGTGACAGCTATTGTGCATCAGGTACAAGAGTCTTGCTTGTGGTCTGGTCCTGTTTCAGGCTTTGACACAGTCTTCTCTCCTGCTGTAATTTCTGTCCATGAGGACATAGATTATATGCAAACAATTCTTCCAGTGCATACATGGATCTACCTCAATATTCTATGTCCTTCCATGACTTTTCTTCACAGGTATGTTACCTTCTTCCACTCTCTCTTATTTCTTATTAGTCTTTTTTCCCTTCTTTATTTGGCCCCTTCTTCAAAATATTATGATTTTAATTTTTCCTCTGATATCCAAGTCCATACTGAATTTATTTTTTCTTGACTACACTTTGGTGTCAGTATGCCTCATACTCCTCAACTGGTTGCGCATATACCTTGGCTTACAGTTGAGCTGAAGCCATTTTCTTGGATCCACAGGATCTGGAATATTTTTTCCAGGCTTGGGGCTCTGATCCATTGTCTTTTTTTAGTCTTTCCTAAGCTCAGTTTTCTTGCCTTTGCCTTTCTTTTTTATCTTATCTATTCTCTATTCATCTCCTTGTGGAAGCAATCCACCATTCCTCTGAGGGATTTTCAGCAGACACTCATTCCCTTTTTCTACATTGCCTTATTCTTCCTTGGCCTTGCCCCTTCTCACTAACTTACATCATTGTTGGGGAGGGATGCCCTTCTTGCTCAAATACTTTTACCTCCTTCTTATCTCAGAGATCTTCATCTGGTTTCTTTCCTCCACTAATGGGTTTTTGATGGAGTACCTGATTCTTTGTAGCCATGGGCTGATGCTACATGCCAACATTTTTCCTTGCCTACTCTTGTATCCGGACTTTCCAAAGCTCTTTCTCTTCCAGTTGCTCTCTCCTATCTTCTTGACTCCTTTCTTCTCCCTGTTTTTCCATCCTGTTCCTCTTCTCCCATCTGTTCTTCCACTATTTGTAGATTTCAGTGTCCACAGTATCATCAGTGACAATCTTCTTGGCTCAGGAAAAGTGGGGGCTCTTTTGGCTTGATTTATGGATCTATAGAATCCTTTTGCAACCAACTGTTTGTAGCTACAGATTCTATTCATTGACTTTATCCTTCTTTTCTCTTCTCCTCCCTCCTTTTCTCAGTGCAGATAGCCCTCATGTAGCTTTGCACAAAATTCAAAAAACAAACCCTCCTTTTCTCATGTTTCTTTCCCTCTTCCAGGGGATCCTTTCTTCCAATAGCATCTCTCCGAGGTAGTGTTAGACCTTTTGGCCAAGGATGCTATCAAAAGGGTTTCTATCTGTTCTTTGAGATTTTATTCCTGTCTATTTGTTATTCCACAATACAGCTGAGATTGGAATCCGGTCATCATTCTGTTCTGTTGTCTCACTCTCTGTTGGTCTTTTTCTCTGGGACTTTGGATGACCAAGATCAAAATCTCTGATGCTTATCTCCACATTCCTATCTCCTCAACATCTAGACTTTACCTTTGGTCTTGACCTTATGTCAGCTTCTTATGTTTTTCTTTTGTCATGTAGTGCATGCTATTGCTCATTGCATTCATGGCTTGAGATTGAGATTTCACCATTACAAAGATGACTGTTTTTTTTTAGCTCAATTCCAACAGGACTCCTCCAACCACACTCTTCTTCTTTGGAACAAGGGTTGTCTATGTTGGCTAGTCAAGCTGGAGAAGTCTGTTCTACCCATCCAGTATTTAGTTCACTTGGATATGTTCTTCACTTCCTGTCTCAGCAGGGCACAGCCTTCTCTGCTGTATTAGCAGGTTATGGATGGTTTGGTTTCCTTAGTTCTATCCTCTCCTTGTCTTCCTGCATGAGTAGTTCTCTATCTATTGGGGACTTGGGCTTCCTTGGATCCTCTTATCTCCTTGGGTCATGCTTATATGCATCTATTACTATTGACTCTACATGATCAATGGAACCTTTCTTATGATCTCTTTTTTTTTGAGTGGTCCTTAAGTCTTTCTATGCTTTTGCCACTTATTACAATGCCTAGCGTCCCCTGCTTGGGTCTCTTATTTCATATCCATTGGCACTGGCAGTGGATGCATTCAGTCAGGATTGGTCCATTCTCATTCTTGGTGTTTACCACCCTAATTTTCTCCTCCCACATGTTCTCTCTCTCATTTGGGACACTCCTTGTCAGGTCATTCTAGTGGCACCCTATTGGGTGGCTCAATCGTGGTTTTCTCTGCTGAATCTTTTGACTGCCTCCAGCCACTATTCATCACAAATCATACCATCTCTAACTGGGTAAGACTTCTTTTTTTTTTTCATACCTTCTTTTTACATAGCTATCTAATTCTTTACAGGATCCTGCTCAGTGGAAAGTGTTGCCTGCTATGGTATACTTAACCAAAATGCATACAGGGTAGGACCATCCTGGCCCAATATAATGCTATCAAGTGGAGTGTTTCACAAGACAGCTCAAGGTATCTTTGTGGTGCTCATTTTCTTAAACAAGGTCTGATCCGGACCATACCCACTCATAGACTAGCATGAGTAAAGCAGGCAGGGATACCTGCCCAACCCTCATGCCTAGTTTAAAACTTAGTGCTGGCCTGTTTTTAAAGTCTAGGGTTTGCATAGTCATCCATTGCACTGTTTTACTGTGATGCATTCCTCTGGACTCTCCACCACACTTTCATCTCTCCTTTTTTCTTCTAGTGTAGCATGGAAATGTTTGCCAAGCATCAGTTCCTAGCCACTGGGATGGTGGGCCATGGAAGATGTCTTCCGAGTGTGACCATTTCAACACAGTAGAAAGTAGTGTGGTGGTGTTCTGTCTGTGTAGTACAGCTCTCCCTTCTGACCAGCTTTCCACCATCCTACAGCTACCCAAATATTGGATTCCTGGGTGGTCTTGTGTTGGATTGGTGTAGGACCAGCCAAGATAAGTCCTCACACAGTTGCCGGTTGAATGTTACTTTCCCATTCTGCCTCACTGGTCTTGAGGTGAAGATAATAGAGACCATCATCCTACCAAGGCTTTGAAGCTGAATTACTGGTGCCATCTGGTTTTGGACTGGAGTTGACCTACCATGAATGATCCCTCGCCACACTACACATATAGCATTTCTGACAGCCTGATGCAGGTTTTGGACTATGCTTATACCTTCCACCCATCCCTATAACACTTCCCTTCCTTTCTGGGCAAAGAGTTTGCCCTGGTATAGACAAGGTGCTGTGTGTCACTCTCCATGGGTTCTTTTTGGGCACTTCATGAAGAAGGTTCATCTAGGTAAACTTTTGCACTGGTCCCTTCACCATTTCAGTGTGGGATTCTTGCTAGATGTGAGCGAAGGTTATGTATTGTATCAAAAGTGAACATTTTTTAACACTGAAAATGTATTTTCAATAGATACCCACCACATCTCACACTTTTGACCCTTCTTTCCCACTTCTAGTGCATCTTACTTTTTTGTCTGTTCTGAAAGTCATGATTGAACAATCAATATAGAGGGATCCAGCTGTGCCAGGAGGTAGTGTCACACTCCTATTGGTGGAGGATTATTGCATGTAACAGTGTAGCAGTATCATGTGGGATTAGGTGTGAGCCTAAAGGCTAGTGGAGAGTGAAAAAGTTTGCATATAGAGGGCAGTACTGAATTAGAAAAGTTAGCTGTGTGAGAGGTGAGTCAGTGTTTATCAGAAATACATTTTCAGTATTGGAAAATGTTAACATTTTGAACAATATCACAAAAATCATACATTGATAAACTGTATGGCAATATGAAAACAAATTGTTATACTAGTGCTATGTACAGTATTTTTCTTTTCTTTTGCATTTTGATAATGTTCTGTACAAATAATAAATTTGCAACTAAGTTTCTATTACTCATTGTTTGTGATTACTGTATGTCTATTGCTTGTATGTTTCTATATTTATTAATATTAATATATATTGTATATATGCGTGTCTACTGTATGCATTGTGTTTTAATGTGTGTATATATATATATATATATATATTTAAGTATGGCAATAAAATTGGTTTAAGTTACGAGAAAAATGTTCAATATATTTATAACCAAATGTATATTTATACATGTATATGTAATTGATGAGCTTGAGTTATACTTTATTGTAGGAGATTACTTTAATTTTTTATTCATAACTTGGTTAATTGATTTATTTTTAGATAATATTTGTAGTTTCTTGATTGAAAATCCTAATTTCCTGCTGTATTTGGCTCCATCTGTTTGCACAAATGTATTAATGAAGATTATGTTTAAATTGATCACTTTTAATCTTTGTATAGTGGAATGGTCAATGTCCATGCAAGTCTCTTACCTCGATGGCGTGGTGCAGCCCCAATAATTCACACAGTTCTTAATGGAGATACAGAAACTGGAGTAACAATTATGCAACTTTCTCCCAAATGGTATGTATTCAAGGTATTGTGAAGAATTATTTCAGGAACGGTACATTTATATATTGATTTAAGTGTAATACATGTACAAGCACACAGGTTTGTCATCCCCTCATAATGAGAGGTTTGAATATTTTGTACTGTTCATTTATTACAAAATAATTAAGGGGAGGAACATAGTATTTTTACTTCAAACTCTGAAATTTGGTATTCCCACACTTAAATGCATTCACATTACTAATTTATAGATTCATTTTATGTCAAGAAATGTAAATGAAACATGATTGTTTTTCCATGTGAATTTTCAGTGATGATTAAAGTGCCTTAACTTTTAAACCCATAAGTTTTTTGCATATTCTGCCAGAATTATTTTCATGATGTCCTAATAACTATAACCGAACCTTATAAAATTTCTGGTCTGTTTATAAAAGGTGGATAATAACATGGTTTGGATTAGTTTTTAACCAAAGAGACATAAATATTATTGAATGTTATTTCCATCTGATTGGTATATCAAGGTTTTTGGCCAGATGCTGGCAGCATCCACTCGGGTTTAAGAAATTAATTTTATTTTTTCTGGATAAAATACCACATGTGATACAAACTTTTACTATATTTATCATTCTCTTCACATCACACTATGTTTGTAGAAAGTTTCTATTAACAAAAAAATTATTTTCAAGCTTTGATATTGGAAGAATTCTATTACAACAAAAGATAGAGATACCACATAAAGCAACTAGCAAAGAGTTGTATGCCCTTCTTGCACCTTTAGGAGCTCAGTTGGTAAGTGTTGTTTTTATATGAATTCATTAATAATATTATTGATGATAATAGAACTTGTTCAGTCAAGATTCTTAGGCTTTTGCATGTCATTGAGAAACTGCAAAGACTACAAGAAATGCAAATATTGTATTATGAAACACAATGAAATCAAAAATAAAATAAATCACTTGCATTTTTATGATTCACTTGTACAAATATCAAACAATACTGATTTTGACAGAGCACTAATCAAGAACCTGAATTGCCTTCATTCAGACTTGCTCTGCACCAGTTTGACTAAATGACAGTGACATACAACACACGTCTTACAAGAAGCATGGCAAAATCTGCTGAGCAGGTGTTCTGTATCAGGTTCCAGTCAGTCACACATTTGTTTCATCTAGGTGTAGCTGATTCGACTTACTTCCATGTATTCATAACTCACCAAACATGAGACCAAATTGATACATCAGAAAGAGATATGAATGCATTGATATTTTCTGTAGATGGCAGTGGCTTGCTTAAGTTCACTTTATTCTCTCTCTCTTTTTCAATTGATACTAGCAGGATGCATTTCACTCATTATTTTTTTAGAACAAAGAGAATTTATTGTAACAGGAAAAATTTATAATTACAATAACAAACTTTTTTTTATTTCCGTGTTAAAGCTTCATGCAGACTTTGTTACATTTTCTATACATACTGTACAAACATGTGTGTGTGCATTATTTTATTTTAAATCACTCTTACCACTTTTTGGCATATACATGCATGTACATGGATCAAATCTTAGACACAAAAAAGTGTGTCTTTCTAAAAATTGATTATTTTTCTCTTCATAAGATTTTATTCGAAATATATGTAATCTAGCACAGTAATCAAAGTGAGTGCATATAAAGTAGCAGAATTCATTATCAGGGTTCTTTGTTTTGAGTTTTTATTTTTTGTTGATATACCTGCTTTTTAACAGGTTTTGATATTATTTCTTTTTTTAACTTAAGAAAAAGCTATTAATTGTTTTTGTTCCATTGTTTGAATAATCCTTTTATTGATGATGCACAAGATAAAAAACATCCAATTCAGGTGTTAGCAAGGTAATTATGCCTGCTTTAAAAAAACTCCCCTTTTTGATCAGTTTCATTCATCTATTTTTATAATAAAGGCAGTATTCAAACTGTTAAACAAATAATGTTTAAACTATGTACAAAAAATGCTTCATTTCCATTTGCTTTTAATAGACATACTACAGTAGGTAGGAATTGTAGATGGTTTAATCAATATTCATTACAGCTAGCAGGTAGACCTGCAAGAAATAAGCACCAAAAGTGAAGAACCCTGGTCATCACATGACTAGTTTCCAGGAAGAGACTTGTAAACTACTAACAAAAACCAGTGATTTGAGAAATATGCTTTCCATACTCGTTCCCAACAGTTCCTTAATAAAAGCAAAAACATCCCATATCCTATTAACAATTTTGTGTGAGCTTGTAGATTACATTATTTGGCCATAGACTTGGACTGCCCCTACCTATGACCTTGTTCTTGTACAGACCACATTAGTTTACAGCCAATCACTTGTTAATAAACATGGCTGAATGTAAGGCATAAGATTTTAACTTCCAACAAGCGTTATAACATGGAGTTACATTTTGACTAAGTTCCAAACCTACACTGAATCCCAAGAAGAATCCAGAAAAAATGGAAATAATAAATATATGGCTACATAACCTAAGAAAGAGACATTTCATTTTAGCAAAAACAGTTTATGAATATAAAACCTTGATAATTGAAATACCTTGTAAAAAAAGTTTTGCTAATAATTTTCAAGCATTGACCCATCCATAAAATCAAGATAAAAGCTGAATGGTTGTAGACAAGGAAAAATAAAAGGTTATATTAGAATATTATTATTATAAAATCATTTGAAATACATGTATACTACTGCTTTACTCCTTTGGCCTACATATGACCATTACATATATTTATTTCAGTGACCAATGGTGAAAATAAAAAATGTGCCAGTTGCATTTTGTTTTTTAATTTGAGAAAAGACTTGTATTGTCAAGATGCCTCTTGGTAATAAAACAACAATATAAATCTTGCTTCCTCAGTATTTTGTAAATAACACCACTTCCTCTTGCTTCTAAACTCATAAGCAAAGGAGTGGGGGAGTAGGCTATCAATATTTGTAAATCACCATTAGTAAACTTTATTCTTCTCCAATTTTTTGCTCTGAATGTGTATTATCATCATGTTAACTGATGACTGACACTGCTAATATTTTCATGACTTTTATACTTGACAGTAGTGATTCAGGCTACATAATATTGTATTAACTGTTCTCATTTGTGTTTTTGTATCCTGTTGCTACTCAATACTAATATTTAACAAAACTAGCAAGGCATGTATATTTACTTCTGATGCCTTGAAATGTTTGTGCACAGTTTACTAAATGCATTATAAGCTGATGCAATTCTTTAGACCATTTGAATGTACTCATATATTATAACTTCACTATATATCAGTATTTTTTCTTATTGTATATATATATATATTCACACGTACACAAATACAGATACACAGGGATTTTTTCTCTGGAAGATTGGTTTTTATTTTGCAATTCAAATGTCAGATGTGCAGTATATCCATAAACTTCGTTTAGTTCACTTCTTAAGATTATTTTTTATAAGGATGTCTTCAATGGTACAGTTTTAAGGGTACCTATGGAAATAAAACCCCTGTATGTATGTATGTATGTATGTGTGTGTATGTATGTATGTATATATATATGTGTGTGTGTGTGTGTGTGTGTGTAAATGCAGAAAACATATTTTTATGATATTGTAAACAGTTGAGTAACATTATATTAAAATGACTTTGACAATGCAAATAGGCAAGTCATGTCAACCACAGCCAAGTTAAAGTCATTTTGGAATAGAATGTATCAGTACTACATTTTGACATCATTTGCCATTTTTTGGGATGCTACCACAAATTGATCACTTTTTGGAAGGTTATGCAACAGGCCTTTCTGATATAAAATATTCATACATTCAGATCATAAAGACATGTTCAGAACGAGGATTTAGAATATCCAAGACAGGGATATCCATTGTACTTAATGTAATTGGAAAACAAAGTAATATGGATTAACTTGGTGATTCAGGAACATTCAGAAAGAGACTTGCAACAAATTATACCCCAGCCATAGTAATGAAACTGATGCATTTTTTAACAGATGAGAATCCACAAAACACAAAGAAAAATGACAAAATCCACCCAGGTGTTTCAGACAACTGTACACAACATAATGAAGAAAGATCTTCTTCTGGAAAAGTGACACAAAACACGTTTGTACAAATTATTTCCATATAGTTTTATATACAATTGAAACTAACTTTTAGGGTTGTTTTCAAAATGAAAGATTGTCAGATAGATCTTAATTTTCCTTTATCATACCAAATTCTCTGTTTAGTTTATCATTAATAATTACTTAGTTAAGTGGATACTGATTTTGAATATATTTTATTTTCATTAGTTGATAAAGTGCCTAACTAGGCTACCATATTACCTAGACAACAGTGTTCCACAACCAAAAAGTGGAGTAACATATGGTAATGTATTTTTTATAGATATAATTTTTAAAATGCTATTATTTGTAGAAAATATAGAGACAGATTTAATAATTGATTCTTCTGATCTGTAACAGAATCCATTCAGTTTAAAGGATTAACAATTACATATAAAGATGCTCTTCTGTGATATAGCTGTGATGTTTATCAATTTATTAAAAATAATCTTTTTTGACCTGCAATTAAAAAATGAATGTAAATTTCCTTTATAGATGCCTGTTTTTTACAAAAAAAACCTTTAATTAAATTTTTAATTAACAGCTTAAGTAAAACTATTGTAAAACTAAATTTTCAAATCAGATAGACTTATCTCTGAAATACTGAAAGCCTTTCCTTGTTGAGTTTTAATTCATGCCATCAACTAAATATTACTCAAATTTATGCATGTTCTTTATGTATTTGCATACCATATATGATTCCTCCTTACAGACCTTTAGGGGTTGTTTTTTATCTATGGACCCTTCATTTCACATGTCATGGGTTCATCAGATCCTTTACTTTGATTTTATATTCATGATTCAATTCTTTCAGTTTCTTTTTAATTTCAGACATTTTCCATGCCAAAGGGGGATATCAATGTTGTACTTCATGTTACCCATGGGTTCTTACTCTCATACTTTTGTGGTGCCACAGACAACAGAGGATTGGAGACTGGTCATACATTCTTTTCTCAATATTCCTCATTTCTAGGTAGAATTTATCCGAATCTCATGAGAGTTCCTCAGCCATGGACAAATGGAGTTTCTAATGAGTTATTTGCATGTATTGGTTCACCAATATTCATTTTTCACATATTGGAATGTCTTATTAGTTTATTATCCTCCTTTTTGTTCTGGATTAGGCATTCTATGTATTTGCACATGTAGTCACACCTTTAGCTTGGTCTGCTACACACTTAATATTGATTGTCATCCTTATATGGATGATCAGAGTATTCATGCTTAGTAGTTGCCTTCTGCTGATTTGTCTTTCCAGTTTGCTTCTGCCCTGAGTTGAACTGTACACATGTCTTTAAGTCTCAACTAGTATCTATTCAATATCTTGTTCACCTGAAAATCTGTATTATCACTCTATGTTGAACTCATCACCTGTTTCTTTGGGCTTTGTGATTCCACGAGTTTATGGTGTGCATACTTTACCATCTCCCAATCATATCCTCTCTGATTTTTGGATTGGTGATTCCTCTCAAAGTTTGGTTTCAATGTCATTCTCACATTCCTATGTTTGAAGATTTGGGTTGTTCCACATGTGTGTCAAGAATTCCTGCCCTTGTTATCCTACCTCTGTGTATCCAGAGCCATTTTAACTGTGGTGATGTATATCAACAGTTAAGTGTGACATTCTCACAGCTCTTGTTAATTGAAGTTTGTGTTATTTTTGTGGTTACATTCACATCATGCCTTTCTTTGAACTGGTATTTTGTGGGTAGTGCCAACAGTTCAGTCAACTTCTGCTGGATGCATTTGTGACAGCTTTGCATGATCTTCTGATGCTTTAGTGGTTTCTAGGGCTAGTTACTCTAGAAATGGGTGCTTTAAGCCTTTCAGAAAAAAAACAAAATTGATATGCCTAGGGGAATAGCAAGTGGCTCATTGTATAGCTCTGCACTTAACAACAAACAAACACTCAAACTATCTTTTTTTCTTATAATGTTACCAACCACATTAAATGTGGATTTCAGGTTACATCTCATCATGTTTGCCATTTGGTAATGTTTTTAGCCTTCCTGTCTTTGTACCTTTTATAGGTCATTGTATAAACTGGAGGGGGTACAAAGTTGCATTATTTTTGCCTCATCACATCACTTCATTTTCAAGGTTCCATTTGTCACCTAGGGCTCTTCTCTAGGAATCCATTTCTGGTGTATTTTGTATTTTCTGCCCAACACTCATGCTAATTTCCAGAGATTCTGAGATTGTGAATAATTTTGACTTCCAAGCAAACAATACAAAACAAGACAAAACAATTAAATATAGTCTATTATATAGCAAGAATATATTTATATGATTTCTTATATCGGGACTTTTTTACATTCTTTTATCTCCATGTTTGCCCTATGCAACTCGCATATTACTCTTTCTCCCAACACTCCTACTTACAAATCTATGTGTCTGGGGTTGAAATATTTTTATATATATTTATGTGTGTGCATGTGTTTATTAAAACAGAAATTATCAGGACTATTACAAGTCACATATATCTTTGCATTTGTCTTGAGCAACCCAAGTTCGTAAATATAGGGTGTGTAAGACAGTTTTTTATTTTGTTTTTATTATATATATATATATATATAAACTGTAATTCAAGTTGGTTTCACTTCAAGATGAATATGTATAAGAAATGCGAATCCTGTCTTTTTTACCAAATTGTTCTTTATTTTACCAGTTTTGTAGCATCACAGGCTACTCTTTGGGATAAAAAATTTTTCTAAACATATCATTAAAGTTTCATTGGAGTTATCCACAGTATACTTGAGATTTTTGATGTTTGAAGTTAATTTCCATTCTAATAATCTAAAAATTATAAAACTATTTGAAATTGATTTTCCTTTGTGCACCTTTCAAATACAAGAATAATTGTCAGGCATGAACATGTTATGCACTAAGGCTTTGAAGTGATTAGTTTACAAGCATGTAATCTAAATAATGGAATCTATGAACAAACTCCTTATGTTAAAAGTTACAAGTGATATTGTAGTTGTCAGATTTGAGATCTGTACCAAGCTACAATGTAATCCTTAAGAAATGGAGGTTCAGTATTCTCTGTACTTACTTGTTCAAGTAGATTCATTTTAGTAATTCATGATATTATAACAAATTGCAATTGAAATCATCAGCGTACATAGACAGACTCTCTACAAGCGATGCGTATATTAGATATAGTTTTATTTTATAATTTTTCTAAACATCAGTATACCAAACAATGTTTAATATTTTTAGTAAAGAAAGAAACCTAAGTTGCGAGACCTCTGGTAATTTCTCCTTAAAGAAATATAACATTGTGTATAGCCTAACACTTAAGTATATCAAGTTTAAAAAAAAAGTGCAGTGCTGTGCTTCTCAATAACAAAGTAAAAGATAATTATCAGTTAAGTGGTAGAATTCTTAACATGTAAACATGTCTGCTTGAAAATGAGTTTTTTGTGTGTCAGATTTGCTATTAGTCTGGTCTGGCGGTTAGGGCACTTGACTCACTATCTGCAGGTTGCCTGAATCAAAACCCATCTCCAAATATGCCTACCCTTTCAGCCAATGGGGTTTTATAATGGGACAATCGATCCCACTTTCCAATGGTAAATAGTAGCCCAAGAGTTAGGAGGGGTGGGTTTGTTGACTAGATGCCTTTCCTCTAGTCTATCACTTCAAAATTAGGGAGAGCAAGTGCAGGTAGCCCTCTAATGTCTTTGTGTATAATTCATTAACAAACAAATTTGTTGTCATTAATATTTTAATTTTAAGTTAAGTTTATGATTAAAGAGAAATGTATAGCCCTTCATGCATATATGATATCCCAACACTCTTTTAAAATTTTCCAATATTCTCACACGCAGTTTCAATTTGCCCCTCATGCATTGATTAAAATTTCCTTAAACATTAGTTAATACTGATTCTTGTGTAGTAATGTGATAAAAGTTTAATTTTTGTCTTATAAAATGTGTTTGCAAAAATAAATATAATTTATGGTACAATTTTGATCGTTTGTTACTGTATTTTTAGTTTTAAACACCAAAGGAAATAGCTGTAATCTAGAGTAGAACTAAGAAACTATTAAAAGAATTAGATATTAAGAAAAAATATATATAGTTAAGAGAGAAAGACAAAGAGCTAGTTTTGAAAATAAATTATTTGATATCCAAAAATAAGAAATCTAATTACACTGTTGCCTTATAACTTGCATTACTAGTTTTATGAAGTACTTCTTATTTTGTTCTTTATTTACATTTATGATATTGAATCATTTTACTCTTCAATTCTCAAAGATAAACACAGAAATTACTTATTTTATTTTTGTACAGCACCAAAGGTTCATCCATCAATTGGAATTGTTCTATGGGAGAAAAGTTGTTGTGAGCATGTTGATTACCAGTACCGAGCTCTTAATGGAATTGTAAGCTACGTATTTTTATTAAATGATGTATAGTTCTCAAATGTGGGGAGATGTAGGTATTTAAATCTAGTTCTAGTATTATTTTTTGTACAAGCAGGGCTGTTGGAAGCAGTCAGGCCACTCAGACCATGGCCTGACCACTTTTTCATGGCACGCGTAGCTTCAACTTATCTCTTCATATTTATGATATACTTTAAATATAATGCTTCTTTTGAGAGTTCAGGGAAGTATTAGGCCATCTTCATTGTTTTTAGTTTAAGATATTTGGTTGTGAGTTACTATATCATCTTTTTATACATTTAACTGTAATAAGATAAGTTTTAGGTCATTATTGGAAGTAGTCTAACCTCATTGCCCGAAATCTGTAAAAAAAATTGAATTTTGGAAGGGAGGGATATAAAAACTTGTCATAGGTGTTAGATATTAGAAGATAATCACCTAACTATAACTATTTTTGTTTTATATTTAGGTATTAAAGATGTAAAATGAGACTGTAGCACCAAACACCCTAAATTATATAATACAGTTCTTAAATTGTGGATTAGTATTTCGTAAGTGCTACCTTAGGTTTGCATGCATATATTTCTCTACAAGGTGGGAGAGGAATTTAGGGATCCATCTAAAATACATTCTTCAGTATATGAGGAATTAGTAAAACATTATCTACTAAATTTGTCTCTTTACCAAGCCTTGTTATTGAAAAATATATGATAGTCACAAGTGAGATATTTTCATGTACTTCTGTGTTTTTTTACCTTAGAATTTTTGCAAGTTTTAAGATTTTTTTAAAAAAAAACTCCATTAAATTTTCTCGTATTAGACTTATCTGTTTACTTACTGGCAAGGACAGAAAGTCAAACTTCTCGACAAAGTAGATCAATCGGAGATTGTAGATGCTAAACTTCACATCTTGGTACCCCATGAAGTAACTCCTGGAACTTGCTATTTCCACAAGAAAAGACGAATAATGTGCATCAAGTGTAAGGTATAAACATTTATACTAACACTTTGTCAGGTAAAACTTTTTGTAAAATAGGTCATTGTTGTAAATACTCTAACCTCATTGCCCAAAATGTGTAAAAAGAACTGCACTGCAAACAGTAGTAAATGTTTCTTTATGCATGTATGCAAAAATAATTGCATGTTTTTGTATATAAGTATATTCATATATTTATGCTTTATCCTTTTATTTTATATTAAAATGCTTTGTATTGAAGAAAATAAAATCTGTGTTTAATAACAAACCTTAAAAAATATCATATTAGAAATCCGGAAACAAGCCCTGTGCATGTTTGTATTCCAACAGTAATATAATTTGTAAGAATGTGAATAGTGTTAGTTGGTAAGGGCACTATACACCTATCAGACATGCAGGCTCCTTTTTCCTATTCACACACTAAAAGTATTTGACAAAAACACTGAAGAAAATTCATCTCCTAAATTTAGTAACCATATCGATTTGTAACCAAAGTCTATCCATATAATCTTAATACCTGTAACTTTGAACTTTTAATTCCAAATCTTATTTTTTCCCTAAGTGTTTTTAAAATTGTACATACTGTTAACTAAAACACTCAGCCAAAAAATGGTACAGTAGACTAAAACAATGAAAGAAAATATCCTTGTTATCAAATCATAATAACCAATTTAAAGCATCCATGCCATGCAGGTGGCCCAAAGGGAATTTCTATGTATTAAATGATCTAAAAAGATATTTACTCTAGTGCCCCTAGGCTTATAAAAACCTAATATGACTTTAATGACGTGACAAATAGCTTCATATAAGCACTGGCAAAAAATTATAAAAACTAATATATAAAGACAAATTTTCAGTACATTCCCCTAAAAATTTATTAAGCATACATTCAACCAGTAAGATAGATAAATTAAATTTATCACGAGACATAACCTTAAAAAGACATCCTTTAGACCTCAAAAGTTATATTTCAAGATGTCCCAGATGGCAAATAGTCATCCTTAACATTTTTCTTTTACCACCTATTTCACAGTTAATATGAACCATGTTGTAAGATATTTTAATTTTCCAAGTAGAAATTAGGTCTTATCATAACTTCATTTTTGCAAATTATGTACAAGAAACAATTTTGTGTTATTTACCAAAATGATAACTAGAACATCATTTTGTTTTGTATTATGTGAGTGTTGTTGTTAATAGATCTTGTGTCTAAATATAAAAATGTAGAATTCATTTTGAATATGTCCTTATTTCTTTCTTTTCTTTTTTTCCCAAGGATGGGTGGGTAGGATTCAGAACTTTTTTTATCTATGGGAGAAAGAAAATGTCAGCAGACGATTTTTATAATGGTTTTTTGTCAAAAGTGTCTTGTGAAAAATGGGTTGTGAAATCAGAAGAACCTACATGACAAGGCTTACTTTGGTATCTATGTTTCAGGTTCATTGAACATTTGAAAATGAAACCCATTATCAGTACATTATCATTGTAGCATTTGGAGTAAAAGTGGATAAGATAAATAACTTTTGTGTTTGCATTCTTTATCTTAAGATAATGAAGCTCAGAAAAATAAATTACTTTAAAGCAATGAGTGATTAATATCAAAAATGTTAAAAAAGTAAAATTGTATAGAAATTATCACTATGACATTTATTTTTAAGAGAATAGTACTTTTAAACATTATGATATTTAATTACATTAATTATCTAACTGTATTTAACTTTTGAGCTGCAAAATATCTAATGTCTTCAGTGTAGTGTAACTTAGAAAATTTTATAGTAAATTTATTTAAAATTATTACAGCAATTATGCATAATCAAGTCAAAAGTCAGTTATTTCTCTCATACTCTGAAAATTATATAATATCCAAACAAATGTATTTTAAACAACATGCTGAGGAACATTATTTTATTTCATTTAACAAATACACAATCCAGGTTAATCTTGGTCCTTGACTGTTTGGTGTCTGATAAATTTATTGTGGCAGACTATATATATATATATAAAGAAATGTGACTTTTGGAGATAAATCACCTTAAGAACTATGGTTGTAATTTTTTTGTATTTTTATTTCCAAAAGTCTAATTCTTTATTTTATCACCTTTGGATATCTCTACTTATACATATATATCAATAACTTAAAACTAGTGACTTGTCAAATATTCTGTCTCCATACATAGTTCCAGACAGATAAAGGTATGAGCCTGATAACTTTCATTTTATATGCAATATATATTACAAGGCTGAATAGGATGTTTAACTATCACTCCCCAATGCACATGTTTTTCTGTAGGAAATGTAAATATTAAGGCTTGTTATCACTTCCTGGCTGGCACAGCTGGTCACAGATCCATACTTAAATATCAAAAGCTATTTTACTGTGTTCCTCATGAGAGATTAATGTTAATACATATGTATGAAATATCATATATTTTATTTAGGTGTATTTATTATTAGTTCAGAAACTGATAGAAACACTGTTTTAAAAAATTTTGGTTCTTCTCAGATTTGGACATTCAAATTTCAGTCATTCATTCATTTACCATCTAAGTTAATGCTAACTTCTTTGTAAACACATTTTTTGATTATAATTCATTTGTTATGGATAATCATTACTATCACTGTCGTCCTGGCCCAGCATGGCCAGGTGGTTAGGGTGCTGGACTCGCAATCTGTGGGTCACGAGTTCGAATCCCCGTCACACTAAACCTGGGGGTGTTATAATGTGACAGTCAATCCTACTATTCGTTGGTAAAAGAATAGCCCAAGAGTTAGCGGTGGGTGGTGATGACTAGGTACCCTCCCTCTAGTCTTACACTGCTAAATTAGGGACGGCTAGCATAGATAGCCCTCCGGTAGCTTTGCACGAAATCCATAACAAACAAACAAACACTGTCATCCTTATTGACTGATCATCATAACATAATACTTCTTCCTTAAAACACTAAAATGTATTTTACATCACAAAGTAGTAAAAAGTAAGCTTAATATCATCAAGAATAAATTATTATGTATATGTGATACCTTACACTAGTAAGTATATTGTTTATTTTTGTAAATAATACACTGATACATTAGTGGTCTTTTATTTTTTACATTTTGGGCTATTATCCTCACTTTACTTGCAATATTAAGCTGATTTAATAATTTAAAATGCAGGTTAAAATACAGTGCACATCAGTGACGTTGATTACATGGGATCATGTGTACTGCCTGAAAATTTAAATTCAAAAATGTGAAAATTTTTCTGTGTGCTGAAATTTATTAATTAAATTCTTTTCAGTAATTATTTGAATTGGTATACTTTTATGAATATTACTTAGGCCTACCAATGTAAGATTGTGTTTTCACATCTAAAAATCTGATGTGCTGTAAACTACTCGAAATGTCACACAAAATAAACTAGAAAACATTAAATATTTATTCTTTATTATCATTTATCCACAATGATAATCATACAAGATTATATGTTGACTCAGAAAGATTATATTGTATGAATTCAAGAAGCTACTGCTAATGGAAATGTTTTTGAAATTCAAATGTTATACCTTTTGCACTATTTTATTGTTTGCCTATTGAGACATTAAGGATATATTATTTATGTAGAAATTGTATAAGAATTATTAGAAATGTTATAGAACCGACCAGATTCCCTTTGTCAGGAAGATAAAACTGTGCTACCTGACAAAGGAACATCACACAAAATAAACTAGAAAACATTTTCATTTAGACGTATCTATTCATTTTTTAGTATTCTTTATCCAAGTACTTCCCTATTTCAAACTTGTCACAGTAGTCACGTGCCCTTTTTCAGTAGTTTATTAAGCAATGAGAATTCCAGTGGTAATTCAAACAATGGATTGTTGATAATGGTTTTTATAAAACGATACTTTGTTCTTTTGATATCTTTATATCCACAAAGATCGTGTCTCTATAGTAGTAGAAGTTTATCATTTTTTTATTCTAAAATATTTCCTATTAATTTTGATGTTGAATCTTGTTCTTAAGAAATTTTATTGATGAATCCATATTAAAATTGAAAAAGTTTCTACAAATTAATTTAAGCTGTTTTCTTTTAATCATTCTTTAATCCAACTAGCACAATGATTTTTGATTAGCTTGTCCTCTTTTCGAATGTGATAAAATTTCATTTAATTTTCCAAGCCTTCAAGAATGGGAACTTGAACATATTAAAAATAAATCCATACTACTAATACGTATGGTTATAAGGATGAAACCTTGTAACATGTGAGGATATTTTTTACTGACTAAATAATCAAGACCCTTATAAATTATGTAGTTTATTTATACTTTATCTTTTAGTAGAGCTGGTTGAATTAACTGATTACACATGATCAATGATTGCATTGATTAGTAGTGTTTCTTAAACAAGCTAATTAATGTAATCGAAATAAATAATTAAGAAAATTAGTTATTTTGATTATTACTGTTTTTGATTATTCCAACAATCATTTAATCAAAACTATGATGAAATTGATTGGTACAAAAATCATCAACTAATTGAAATTGGGGTTTCTAAATATTTACTGTTTTTGATTATTCCAACTATCCAAGTAATCAAAATATTACCATTTTATTAATTTGTTGTTAAGTGTAAAACTACATGATTTTGAACTACTGACTAGAGGGAAGGCAACACCCACCACCAAGTCTCTGACTACTTAAATGTTAAATAAAGTGTAAATTTACTGTTTTCTTCAATGTCTTATGTTTCTAATTCAAAATTGGGTAACTGTAAACTTTAATGTTGTATGACCAGGTGCAAATTCAGGAAGGAGTCTGGACCAATTTCCTTTTTTTTTTATTCAGAAATCTGTATTTTTTTTATATTGTATAAGTAGGCATGGAGATAGGGGTACAGATCCTTTTTTAGAATTTAATATCTTTATTATTTCATGTTGTATAAGTAGGTGCAATTATTATTATTCTTCACAGAGATATCTGTAAGATCCAGCTTTAAAAACTGTATTTCAAACCACTTGAGATTGCACCATAACCAGATTTTAATTAAGGCCTGTCAAAATGAAAACAAACAGTGTATTTCGTTAAAACTTAAAGCTTGGCAATTCAAAAGTAGAACAAATCTACACTGTTTTTATTTTGTGTGTGTAGTTGTATTTATTCAATTCGTTTCAAAAATAACTATAATAAATATATAAAATAACAATTTATCAGTAATTTTGTTTTTAAAACAAAATATACATCAGTAAGCATTGCCTATAGCACATAAACATGTGGATACATAACACAGCTTGGGCATGAGTCGTTGACAGGCAATATCTCCAAGAGACAGGTGGAATATCACCAGTGACTTTGAAAACCTTTCTTTCTGAGAACACAGGTTGAGTTTTGTGGTGGAAGTTTTTCTGTAAAAACTTCCTGAGTAAACTTGCAATCTCGCTTGTAAGCTGATGCAACCTTCTGGTGTGTCACCATGCAAGATTGTGCCTGATGGTCTGATAACTTTATACCAGTTTTCCTGAAATATAAGGAGCTGTTCTCTAAGAAAACATGAAAAAGTAACATTATATAAATCATAGCAAAAAACGTATCATTTCGCTGTATTTTTCCGTTTAAGTTATTTTTCTTGGTATCTGTTATACTGAGTTTTTATACATAAGTGATATTTATAAGATTACAAGTCCAGCAGACCTTCCCCAGACTTAAAAGATCCAAGAAAATGAGGAAGGGCCATAGTAAAACAGGCCCCGCATTTATTGCCAATGTTTCTACTCTACTAGCTGCTGCTCTGTAAACTCCTTCCCTAATCATTTCCGAAAAGCTGGACATTAGAACCATTGAGATGTGGAAACAGCGTTGCCAAGTCCAGATCATCAAATGAACAGAGACCTAATTCTTGTACTAAATGTTGTGTCAACAACATAGGAGGATCAATGATTAAAACTGTCATTTGGTGCAGGAGAATATTTGCCTTTTCCAAGAAAACTACCACTGAACGACAGTGATCTATGGATGACTTCAGTAGTATTTTACCATCTCTTTTGAAGTGCAATGTAAATATTGTTTGTATAGTAGTAGCAGTCATCTGTATGACTATAGATTAGGCACCGCAAAAAAAGAAGAAATGTCCAATTTTTTAGGCACTTTCTTGTGTGGCTGTATAGTCCTATTTGGGACAAGCACACACTGTTGCAGTTTGCAAAGGTTGTTGTTGTACATGAAGGCTTTTGTGCTGAATTCTTTCTGATGGTCCCTTTTTTTTTCTGCTTGCTGAGTTCTTTTCATTTTCCTTCATGCCCTCATTTAAACACCTTTTCCAAGCATTGCAATTTTCTGTTACTTCTTCCCAACTCATAAAATGCTGTCTCCCGTGTTGTGGGGGTTGTTTGAATATATTTAGGTATCTCTGTGTTTTATTTCCATTTTCTGTATTTAATTTTGTTCAGTTTTACTCGGTTTTATGTTTTGTCATCTTGCGTAGTTCTGTGTTTAGTTAATTCACAATATACTTTCTGTACAGTTTTATTTTAATATCTCATTTAATCTCTTGTGCATTTTCATTTATCTGTAAGAGTTTCTACTTCTATTGCACAGTTTCATTTCAATTTTGTACCACATTTATTTTACATCCAGTTCTTTTATAATTACCATTCAATATGGATTGGCGGTTTATTTTTCTTGAATGTATATCCACCAGAGAATGTGACCTATCCAATGCGTCACGGATTACCTCCTATATACGTTTCAACGTCACAGACACGTCAAAAGTGAAGACTCTCAAAACGTCACAACCACCTCTCATTGTGACGTCACATATTAACCTTTCCTAGACTTAATTGAAACTTGCTTGCTTCAATTTTTAAAAAAAATACTGTTGGTTTCTTTCTATTTCTCAATAAAAACATACACATCACGCATGACTGAGCAACTTGATTTTGTTTCATCTATAATAGTACATTGAGAAGTAATTAAATACTGAAAGATTAATTGTCAGAGATTGTATAATCAACAGCTACTCAAAATACTAAACTAGTGACAATAGGTCAGTATAAACACGCAAAA